GATCTAAACTGTTTCCAGGTTGCGTTATTCTCTAACTGTTTTCTCCCATTTTCCCAGGGTACCGATGCTTGGATAAATCCAGACCCTGTGAAAATGGAGGCACTTGTATAGAGTCACCCTTCCGATGCATGTAAGTGAAACTTGATAAGGACAGTGTGACACCTGTGGATGAAAACTGTTATTTTCTTTACAAATGTGACGTCTGGTGCGCTTATCCGCCCAGAAAAAGAATCTTTCTGAATCTTTTCATATTTTAAGAGCAGCAACTTGTTGTTGCCCTTATGTTTTCTGCACCTGTTGAAATGGTTCGTCAGGCACGAATCACTTCTGTTGTGTTGAACATGAGCGTTTCCTCTATCTATCTTGTGAAATGTTTAGGATTTTTATGCCGTTTGGCATTTATTGTCCATATGCGTTCATTTTAAGAGTTTTGAAGAAACTTTTCTTGGAAAGTTGTCATCATTTTGCCACTGTTTTGGGAATTATGCCAATTTGAAAGCACTGTTACTAACAAGGTTGTGGGCCTTTTAAAACAAAATCGTCTGGGGATTTGTCAGAACTCTTAAAAATCCAGTTAAAAAGTCTACATTGTCTTGCCTGTGGATGAATAACAGAATGATAAGAATGAGGACAAGAAGTAGAGGCGGTGGGATTTATTGACCTTCAAGTTTGGGAAACAGACATAAATTGTTTGCCTAAGAAATTACAGTTGTTCCAGACAACAGTTGCCAGCCCGACCCCCCCAGAACGGTATTTTTGCATTTTCACTCTTAGGTGCAGGTCTTTTAAGTTTTCACAAGCAAATATTAAGACAAGTGAAGATGAACAAGTAATTGTGTAACTTTTTTTTTTCAATCATTAACTGGAAGTGGCATGACGCAAGTAAATGTTTAATTTGTCACGTGATTCTTTTAGGGTTGGAAATAACTCATTATTCCACTCTTTGTTCTTGTGTTGGTGTTCTTCCCCATATCACATATCAAAGAGAGTAATTTTATTTTTTTATGGCAGCGGCTGTCATGTTAGTCAAGTCATTCATCGGTGCTTTGGTCTAGTGCCAAGAAAAGGAATTGCACCTTAAATGCAACAGTATGACGGTTCTTAAACGTAGGGGCACAAATGTCATGCTTTAAAGGGCGAGTCCTACAGCGAGTTGATCAGCAGAGTCGAGTCTGGCCACAAGTGAGTGGTAGGACCAGTACTGATACCCCTCCCCACACCCCTTCCTCTGGGAGCCGCCAGAGAAATAGGAGATCCAAAGCAGCAGAAAAGATCTTTTCTTTTACCAGATACCTGATTGTAACCTGGCACCATCAAAACAGAGCACCGAAAGAGACAGGGAAAGAACAAGAAAATAAAGGGCCACAGCGAAACAAGGACAAAACTAGAAAAAAAGCAGAGGAAAAAAATGCATATGCCGATGCTACAAAGTGGAAGTTAGAGACGAAGTGGGGACTTTGAACACACTTTGAAGGGAAAACAACTGACATTGCTTTTTTTTTTTTTTTGCTTATTCTTATATAATTTTCTTGTAGCTTCCAGCTTCTCATGAGAGGCACCATTGTTCCTGTCCCAGATACTGGTGTATCCTCTGTCTGGTTAAAACCTTGGTGAAAGAAAAAAAAAACTCTTTGAAGTTTTTATTTCTACTTCATTTCCCTCTCAAACCGTTTGGCTAAAGTTACAGAGCAGAGTTGCTGTGAGAGGATTAGATTAATAATTCCCCAGAAAGTGTAAACTTTCTGTTAGACCACCTCACGTCGTTAAATCTTCTTAATCTGAAAAGGTTGAGAGCCTCTCCGTAAATTGGATTTGGATATTGTTTGTCGGCTTTTGACACTTTTCTTCTCATTTTCTACCGTTGTATAGTCTGGTTTTATTTATGTGGGAACTTTAAGCAACTTAATAATACTATAAGAAAGATGACATTAAAGAAGACACACGGCTTGCGGCTTAAAGGTTGAGAGGTCAGAAAAGAGTAAAAAGTATTTTCTTGCATTAGATTGCTTAATGTCTGGAAATGGGTTAAAGGAGAGAGACTATAATATGGCATCAGGGCCAGAGAGAAGATAATTAGGCAGATAGAGAGGATGTCATTCAGAGAGGATCCAGCTGGAGGGGTTCCTCTGTCGGTGGGGAATGGGTAGGGGGATGGAGAAAGCAGAGAGAGAATGGTGGTGGGGAAGGGGGAGCTCCTTAAAGGACAGCTGGTGGATGTTGTGATGGTAATCCAGTGAAGTCACATCTAGACAAAGGAGTAAAGCGTAGGGCCAGGTGCTGCCATTGAGCAGTCAGCTGCTCCCATACTGTGAGAGACAAGCTCGTGGAGGAATGAGGCTGGTCACTCACAGGGCTCTCCAGCACATGTTGCTTCTCTCATGGAGAGTAGCGATGTTGGCGAACGTGTTCACACGTTTTCCTTTCACCCTCTGCTTGTCATCCCAATCAGGGAGCAAGAAATGTAAAACGGGATAAACATATCCCGCTTTAATCTATCTGTAAAAAGCCCTTCCTTTGGCCACAGTAGCAATGCAAACAAGATGGTGGTCCCTCTTCTTTCAATGTAAATGTTTTCATAAACATTTAAGTGGAAGGCCAAAGACTTATTTGAGAACCAGAGAACATCACATCATGTGCAGGCACAAGTTTTGTGTAAGGGTGTTTACACGTCTAACAAACATGCAGTTTTGTGTTAGGGTGTTTACACGTCTAACAAACATGCCCGATAACTGTACAACACTTAAGTCAACATTTCACTTGAACAAAATGCTAGTTTCAAAGACTCTTTGCCATGTTTGCATCACTTAGCATATCAACTACTTTAGACAATCTAAGAGGTACCAAACACTGAGATTAATGTTTCCGCCTACCACTACTTCTGTTCAGAAGAAACACATCGCCTGACCACTGCAGTTTCTTTGTTATGAACTTGTCTGTCTTCACGTGATTACAAAACACCCATGAATTCTTGTAGGAAGACAGTCTGGGCATAGTTGGGTTGACAGTAATTCATTTTATCTGGTCAGAGTTTTCATTTTTCATTGAAGATTACAGCCTTTCCGAAAGAAAAATCCAGCACTAACAAGTCAATTTCACCAAAAAATATGTATCCCTCAGTAGAAAAAAAAAGTTGCTCACTGGCATGAAGTGAAAATACATATACACACATGCTGGAGCACAAAGAGGCACATTATGTTGTTTGCTTAGTCCAGACAACCTCAGGGCTGGGTTTCTTTGGTATCCTTACGGTGGATTAGAGAGGAATGCTTGCTGGGATTCCTCCTGCCCCTCTGGTGTTTTTAGGTTATTGTCTCTACCTCTTATCCATCCATCCCCCCAGGAGCCCCTTCAGGAATGTCCTATTACAATATAGGCAGCCTACTTTTTAAAATTGGATGTCTAGAAAGACTACATTTTTTTGAGGCAGCACATTAACCATGATCCCCTAAGAATCCTCAATTAAACAGCTATGAGAGAACATTTGAAAATCTACTTTAATAGGTGGATCGTGACAGACTGCAGAATGGTGACAGCATCGGGTGCATTTGACCATTTCACTTATTTTGTATAACCATAAGATGCCGGTCAATCAATAGTTGGCTGCTTCTGCCACCTTGTGACATGAATGCACTAGTCATCCATTTTTCATTGCTGCATTTTTTTTTTGTATGACCGCTGCAGTTTCATTTTTATTAATTCTGAAAAAATAGATAGTACACCTGGAGTATGATTAGCAACTTGAATTTTAGTATTTTGCCAAGCGACACATTCGTATGCCCCTGGAATTTAACCGGTGACCTTCTGGTTGTGATAACTAATGTCTCCTGAACTAAAGGGTCATGCATAGCTGTGTTTAAAATGTTGTCAAAAAGTTGTCATTAGCCTGCCCATTTCACATTCTCTTCATAAACTGTGCCATATAATACAGTGTACAAATTACTCTGGCTAACCCTTAACAGTAATGATTCATGTTTTAAGTGAGGATGGTCTCACTGTGACCCACTGGTAGCATCATTGATAGAAACATTTAGATTCCTTGACCTTTCTTTCCTGATTGGTCAGACCTGGACTATCTTCTTATACTGGGAAATTGTGCCTTGTTCCCTCAGTGTGAAGTCCCTCAGTTTATGCTGCCCTATAAACATTTATTGCAGATTTTTTTGGGTGCTCCCATGCTTCCCTTAACCCCTCTTCTAGTGACATTATGCTGTATTTTTTCAGTCTTCTTCAGACATCAGGGACAAAGCCCCAGGGACAAATTCAGTCATTACTGCTTTCAGCTATTTTTGTGCTTTCTGAAAATCCGAAAAGTCATATTCCTTGGTGCTCTGTTGTAAGTAAGGAGACTTTCACATCTAAGAGATGATGTCTCCGCGCCCAAATGGAATAAAAATGAGATCTGTCAGCAAAATTCACCAAATCCTCTCCCTCTCTAATAGGGGAGGAAGGGATGGGTCGTTGAATAAACGATTCAGGAAAAGGCTCTAACTTTTCCACTGAGCACATTTTCCATGGATATTATGATTTTTACAGCCTTATTCTGGTTTACCCACACTGAAGTGAAAAAGAAATGTTGCATAAATGTAATTGTTTTCAACTTTGTTGTCATGACTGACCAAAAATTCTTTAAGATCCTACCAGTCTGTGCCACTCTCCTGGCCAGCATGTCAAATCAGAGTAGTATTGGACAAACCTTGCTGTGGTTTTCTTTTACTTTATTGTTCAGCCACCAACTGAACAGCAATTGAGTGACTGTTAAGGGATTCTCCTGTCACATCTGAGTAGACCCAAAGGAGAACATTCAGCCTTTGAACTGTATCTGGTCTTTTCTGCTGCATTAATGATGGGTCTTTTGAAAATTTAAAGTTTTTATAGAAATCTGTTTTGGTTTAAGTGGCTGGGTGGGGTTCCTTGGATTGTGTTCATTGGGGAATGATTGCTTTTAAAGACCTCAACCCTGCGGCTCATGCAATGTGGTTATGGGCAAATACATGACTATTTCAAATATGCTAGGAAGTATCCCCCTTCCACCCCCCCAAAAATGGTCAGCTAGTAAATGAAATACATACGTGTTTCTTAACAAAGGAGCACAGATTTTTTTCTTCTTATCTTTTTACTTTTGCAGCACAG